AATTAAGCTCACCACAGCAGCATGCAGGACCTAGATGTTATGTAAAGGGTAAGCATCATAAATTTAAGGATCGTGTTCTCAATCCCGACTTTGGGTGAAATGAGTTTTCCACCTCCACGCTTTACATTACGGCAGATAGGCGCTGTTCTGTCGACGGGGGGGGGGGGGCATTTTGTACTACCATTGCTTCCCTAGTTCCGGTTTACAAATCTCACCCTGGTAAAACTTGTGAACCCTTGTGAAGCTGGTGCAAGATAGTCTAGCCACCATCCTAAAACGTGTCAACTCGAGAAAAGGCTACCTAGATGGGTCGGCACATCTATGGAAAGCAGAATGCCCCCCGTCGACAAACTGCGCCGGGCAGATATGCAGATTGGTTCAACAAATGCAGATTGGTTCAACAACACTACTGGTGGGGAGGATGAATTTTCACCTTCCCTTTTCATGAGAATGAAGGTCCGGCTACAGCCGAAAAAAGTCCAGCATTCCTTCATTACTTTCCATTCGAAATGCTAGTCATAGAATTCATGAAAGGGCCGTGTGTAAACCTTCGAAGAACATCGAAGGACCAAGTAGCGTCTTCAGTCACACGAAAACAACTTACTATTTAATTTTTGATTGTAGAATAGTTCGCTATTCGCCACTTCAGCGACGTCAAGTGTGAAGATCTTGTTATGTTGTGCGTAGTCTATCACCAAACTAGCCCACGTTTCTAATTGCTTCTCTCTTGTAGCTAACGTTGGTTGAAGGCTGAAACAAACATATATAAACAAGCACCTAAATAGCAAAATTCAAGACAGGTATGCCGAGTGCTCGAAGATCACCAATGATTAGCTCTGTGATAATTCGACCCAAAAACTCATTAAAGAAAGCACCAAATAAAATATTTCTGAAAGGCTCAACATCGTAGCTACTAATCTACGGCAGTGAAAACGCTGTTGTGTGTTTTCACGACGCTAAATCAACAACTATAGGTCTTCTGGGAAAACTCCTTTTGGGCCAATAACGGCCTACAAATGGTTGACATTTGAGCCGTGCAGATCAATTGGTCTCCCTCAGATAGAAAAAAGATAATCTCGTCGGTCTCCTTTGATGAAAGCTCACCAGGGACCACTTCAGCTCTTTTAAGGAAATAGCGGAAATGGAAAGGAGAACGGTGGAGGTTTCAGAAAGGAAGCACGTGAGAAGCCATTAAAAGAAATTCGAAAAATGGTAAGGTAAAAGAGAGCTCACGGAAGTGACTGTCAATATGTGACTTGTGACAAAACTAATTGAAAGTAATAACTAGTTAGGAATCTCTAAAGCACCGGACCAACAGAAAAACACGGTGTACAACAAAAGCTGGAAACTTGTTGGGCTGCAAACTAACTGGTTGGGTTCAAAGTAACAGAAAAAAAATATTCCATTGTGGGATCAGAAGAACATTTCTTTCTGATCCCTTAATTGAATTTACAGTCTGGTTCGCTGTGGATGACGGGTCGTGTTTCGCGCGGCTGAGTTTGGCGGCCGCTAAATAATTCTCCACCCGCTGCTTTAGCGGATCGGTGACAAGTTGGTGAAAAACAATCAAAGCGAACAACATGATACAGTCTTCTCGGTTTTAGAAAGAAAAAAAAAAGCGAGCTGGGGCCGTGCCAACGGAGCGCGCGCGCACACGCCCCCTCGTCAGCAGCGAACCACACTATACTAGCAATATTATTTCAACTTGTAGCTACAATAGATGGGAACGGTTTCGTGAAAAAAGATCAACTTTCTCCATTCTGAAGACAAATTTCATGAAAAAAAAGCGGTCCATGCGATGGAGAGTTCTGACAATCACCACGGCCTATGCCTCACAAAGCAACTTACAAATGAGACCTCAGGGATTTCCTCCTCTGGAAAGACCTGTTCTTTCCCATCCTACGTCCTACCAACCATCTCCCTAAATTCTCGACTTCCTACCACTTCTCCTGAGTTTTTTTTCTTCCGGAATTCTCCAGTATTCTTAAGAAAAAAAGAAAACAAACAGACGTTGAACGGTGGGGAGAGGGGGAGGCGGTTCCGACGCACGTGAAAAGGGGAAAGCAAGAAAATAGACGGAGATAATATTCTCTCGTAAGAATCCCAGAAATATGACGTGCCCTGACTGGCACCGTACGTTGAAGCGAATGCCTGCTAGGGCATGTGCGAGTGCTGCGCACATACAGTCTCCTTCGCTGCGGAAGGGGCGTGCCATCGGGGATTGGTTTGGCGCCGCGCCAGCCCTTTCTCTCTTTTTTTTTCCTTTCAGCAAGCGGCGGGGCTGTACTATTATATCGTGCGTATCAATCGTTTTCCACCAAAATCTTTCCCACTTCAAAAGCTGCCTGAGAACGGGCTGGCGACGCACACCCAGCCTCACCGACACGGCTACATCACCAGTATGACAAGACTGTACGTGCGCTGCACTTGCACCTACCTTGGAGGCATTTTCAGGTGCTAACGTATTTAGGGGGGACCACGCGGCTCGCGGCGAGTGATGACTCATCGGCTCTTCACTCATAGGCATACTTGAAGCGCGAATCTAGCAGCCAAATTAGAATAAAACAAACAAGATTCACCGGGAACTTGCTGAGAAATCCCACAGAAGCTGAAAACAAATGTTTGATCTTTTGTAGTCAACAATAACAGTCAACAACAAACAGGCAACAATCTTTTGTAGTTTAGGCAAGAATCTTCCAGCCTACAACTGTTTCTTTGCACTTTTCAGTGTTAACTGTTTTACTTTTGAATATAGCTAGGACGGTGTTATATTCATGTCCTAAACATGAAATTACTTCTATTTTGCCGAGGAGGGAGCAGAAGAGCAGATGAGTCATCGCTCGCCGCGAGCCGCGTGCCCCCCCCCCCCAAATACGTTAGCACCCATTTTCACTCCTCCTGACACCGCCTTGTACTTTTCTCTGTTTTATTTTTTATTCTAAGGCGATATATTTGATATCGCCGCTTCGACAAGGCGATGTCAAGAGGCATGAAAAACTCGCGCGCGTCGTCTTCTACTACAGGCTGTTTTCCTCTTGGACGGGGACACTTCTGGTAGAAAGTGTACCCGTGGGTGGGCTCAACCTACGCTTCTTGACATCACCCCGTCGGATTGCGGTGATATCAACTGTAACATCGTTGACAGCGTCTCTTTCGGCGTCCCGCGATAACGTGAATGATTTGGGCTATACCCCTCTGGGCTATGCCCCTGGTCACGCAACAACCATGCAGATTTTTCAAGTTTGTTAGTCCCAATAGTTCACCATTAGTACAGCATTTGAAGAAAATTTAATAAAGTGCACCACTCATTTGTCACTTTAGAGGCTAATTCGAACGGAATTCAATCTCGACGAAATCTTGTGCATTCCCTGGCATCAGTTCTTTCTGCCTCTCGCATATCCGTTTCGAAGAATTCCACAACGTGTCGTTCTTGACATAAAGATTATGCGAATGGCATATGTCTTTTGCAAAGCAACGCCCTCACATGCATACACCCACATTTAATCGAAACATCTTTCACAAGCACAATTACACTAAAAGGTTCGTTCTGCACATTATATAAAAAAAACTTACGTGAAAAAAGGCGGGAAATCATATTGCCATGGCCATTTGAATGTCATTCTATCCCGCGCTTTCCATCACCTGCAAGCGAACGCTGTGCATCAGTTCAAGCTTGTCAAGGGATATCACACAGGAAAGAAAATCACGAATCACTTCGAAAACTAGAAAATCGAGAAAATCCGTGTTTGTCGTTTGGAACGATCTAACTGCCGCCTACGTGTCACAACGAGTCGGGCAAGCCGACGAAGGAGAACTCGTCCAAAACTTTAGAAAAGCAGGATTTTTAGGGATACTGAACATTTGAGATGCCTCATGGAGAAGCAGTAACACTGAAGCGAATATTCCCGGCTTCAAAGGGCCATCAAATTCTATAGGTAAGAAATCTGGGCGAGTTAAACAAAGTCGCAGGCGCACAACGGTATTATGATTTGAACGAAAATTTCCACAGAAGAGCAGCAAGAGTCGCCTCATCTATAGTCTTGTTCGCTGCGGATGGAGAAGAACGTGAGTGAGGCTCGGTTTGGGGCCGCCAGCCCGTTCTCCAGCTACTGCTGGAGCGAATAAGCGACAACAGCTGGCTGAAAATGACTGATACGAACGGTATGATACGGTTTTGCACCAAGGAAAATGAGAAAAACGGGTACGCGTCGCGCCAATCCTATCCCCTCTTGACACGCCCCGTCATCCGCAGCGAACAAGACTGCAGTTCGGAATAGTGAACGTAGGAAACCGATCACATCGCTCTCTCTCCCCAGGAATGAACAAAAGTCCCCGTGTCCTGGCGTACAATCGTACTTTCGCACCTTCCAGGAATGAATGCCTAGGAGGTGCGAAATATTTGGATAAATGGCATAAAATGAAGCTCGTAACATCTCGTAGCTTTGAGAAAAAACTCGCGCGCCACTGACACGCCCCGCCAGACCTCAGTGTTAGCAACTGTATGTTGAAGGGAATCTTACTATGGGTCATTTCAGCTGCAATGCTGCACATAATCCTTTAGTGATTATTTTCTTCTCCAAGAAGGTGCATGGCATAGCTATAGGCAGAACACGAAAACTGAAAGGAAGTAAGACATTTCGTGGAATATAAAAGAGACAGTTTGATACAACGAAGGCACGCGGCCCACCTGTGATATCGGCGGTTGAGAGGTATCAGTGACGTCATATAGCACGTTAACGCCGTGCCTTAAAGGCAAGTGGTGCGATAAATGGACAAGTCCTAGGGTCGATACGTCTAGCACCACAGAATATTGCGCCTCTCAGTAGGGCGCTGTGTGATGCCTTTTCCGACCAAGGGCACGCCGCTAACCAAGATGCCTGCCGACCCACACGCCCACCGCAACCGCCCGCCCACAGATGGCCGCACAGTCACATCGAGGCTGGTCTCTTATAGTTTCATTATATGAAGCATTGCTATATGATACATGATGCATACATACAAAGCGGTTGTTGGCACGATTCACGAAAAACTCGTCCAAAAATGCTTGCCTATGCTGTGCAGAACAAAGGTTTTTTGGCGGGATTTTGCCCGTCATCTTCGCTTCTTCGTCATTTTCTTACCATAGAACACTCCTGCAACTATTTCTGAGCAAGTACCAAATTACCGTGCCTTATGCCTTTAGGTCATCATGGACAATGAAAAAAGTTTCCTGTTATTAACGTGCTGCATGACAGCTTATCTCATTAACGCGTTAGATGACACGTCATATCCGACGTCTTAATGGGCAACGGACCTGTGAGGACATAAAAAGCGACATTTTGGAAACTGATTGGAATGCTTGTATTTAAGCGATCTTGCTCAAAAATAAAGCACAACGAAAACTCGTTCAGTATGTTTTGAATGGCACGTTCACCCTTTAAATTTCCAGGAAATGAAATGAAAAGTAACTCAGGTAGTAATGCAGATGAATCGCTGCGAGCCCTCCCTCCTCCCCAGTCCCAATTAGCCTCGAAGAATGCAAGTGTTGTAACAGTTGCCATTGTCTGCGAATGACGTGTCATTTACACTTTCGCATTCACCTATGTTCCAGCGTCATAACGAACTTGTTTTTGAATGTGAATAGAGAAAAGAAGAGCCTATCTGAGTAATTCGATACCGGTAATAGTTCACTTTTCGCTACGGGTTTGCAAACACGACAGTCACGAGAATCGGCCAGGGATAGCTCGACAAACAACTGGTTCACTATCGCTCTTCCTAACATGACTTTATCATCACTGCCGTAATATCGACACGGCGCATAACCGTGGGATGCGAACTACTTCGTCGATACTCTCCCCCCCCCCCCTCCCCCAATTGTGTCTAACGCAACTTCCACAGGGTGTCTGCGAGAAGGTGCAATGTTCGCCTCATCTAAAAAAATATCACAACAATGAATTATCCCTTTCGATTCAAATTTTTAGAAGCACTATCGCATCACTTTCATTACTCAACTCAACGGTTTCAGTCACAGAATGGCTCAGGCAGTTAGAATTAGAGGCAGCGACCCCGATCATGTCTATATGTGCCTTCTTATAACCAAAGCTAAGGTCTAGAGTGCAGACGACAAGAGCCAATCAGGCCTAAGGATATCTGTCAACCGCGAAGCCTTCCTCTCCTTCCTTTTTCCTTTCCTCCTTCCTTCTTTTTCTTCCTTCCTTCTCTCATCCTTCTTCCCTATTTTCCTTCCTCTGAACAGAAGATGCGATGAGAAAACACCTCTGACCCTCGCAGCGAGAGAGCACCCGGTTGACAGATGCCTTGTGAGCGTCCGTCGAATCATACTCTCCACTAAGGACAGGTCATTTTGTGGAGGAGGGAGAACGGGGGGGGGGGGTCGTAAGCGCAGGTCTCATTCGGAAGTGGGAAGATAGCGATACTCAGATGTTGTACAGTCACTGGATGATAGATAACTTATCCATGGTTCTTGTTGTGAAGAACACTTGAACAGACATCTGAACAGAGGCAAGTTGCAAGATCAGAAGTGCGGAACGGGCGGTGACAAGAAGTACGGTGGCCGCCTACAACTACGTCATGAATTAATAAACAAGTAAAAGTACATGCTCGCATCTTTGTGTATCGCAAGAGCGCATGTGGCGGCACGGAGGAGCCTCATCTAGAGGTAACACCTTCCTACTTCTTCGCGTGGGAGTAGAATGCATGGCGCAGTACAGGTGATGCCAATCGATGATGCTATAATCAGCAGCGAACGGGATTATATCGATCTGGCGATAGGGGGGGAGGGACTTGGGAGACCCAGCGTTTATAGATCGGCGCCGGTTGCTAACGACTGAGATTCGGCGACCCGACAATCTCCCAAAACGCCGCAGCGTCGAGTTCCCCAAATCGCCGGATCGCTAAAAGGCAGTCCCCGCAATTAAGTATTACCAGTAGTGGGTGTTCAATTATGAACAAATAGCCGTTAAGTGACTCCCCAGTAGAGAAGAAAGCAAAAGAAACCTGGAGAACACCCTAAACTGAACCCAGCTCTGACAGTCAGATAGCCTCATTGTACCAGTTCTCCGTATTTGCCAGCAACTCGATACCCTGTGCCTAGCTTACAAATCATCCTTCGCATCTTCCAGGACTAAGTGTCACCAAATAATAGAAAAAAACGCTGGAACAGTAAACGTATTTGAGAACTCTGTGCATGAAATAAGGATTACGGTTACGGCGAGCTTTAACCCCAACGCGATTGGGTCACTGCTGAATTCAAGCCGTCTCAGGATACTTGTCAACCCGAAGCCACCCTCCTTCTTCCTTTTTCCCCATAATTCCATCTTTTCCTTCCTTCATTCTCTTTTCTCTACCTTTTCTCCTTCTCTCTTCAACTGCTGGGTCAGTAGATGCAATGACAGAATACGTTTGGACCCTCGCAGCGAGAGCATGTAAGCCGTCCAAACGCATCATGC